TGCTCCGTTCTAGATCGAACATGGCTTGTACATCTACAAGGGTGATAAATTGTTGAGGGAGAGAACTTGAAGGTGGTACCTCGGGGACTGGACCTATAGACCCATAGATTGAGCTCGAAGTAACTTGAACATTTGGGTGTAGAAAATTCATCACCGGTGCAGGAACGGGGTGATACTGATTGTTAGCATCTATGGATATACAGTTTGGTGAAGGGACGCCAACTTAGGATTCATAAATGCGGTTATACGCAATGGGTACTCCGTGCTGGGCTTAGAAGGCTGTTGTTGGAGCCAAAGGAGACTTGCTCGGTACATGGGTAGAATTTTCAATCGGTGAAACAAAATTAGGCATAAGTGATGCACCGTTTTGTAGAGAAATTCCCGTGGGCCTTACTTGAAGACCCATTGTCATTGGAACACTGTTCATCGCGCCAGAAACTCCTCTAACCATATGTTGGCCATGGCTTGTTCCTCCTAGCACTTGATTTGCACACCATTTAGAAGAACTTCAAGGCAAATTGGGTTGGGTCTTGAAGATTTTGACCATTCCCAATATCACCATGAAGTCGTTGATGCTCGCCGGTGATGGTTTGACCTCTATTTGTTGCTAGTGGTGTTTAATTCGAACCCATCACCAACATGGTGTGGGTGAATTTTGAAAGGTTGTGAGAATTTCTTGTTGAGTGTATTGGAGTCCTTGAATGGCTTCAAGGATGAGAGGTGGGTCTTGAGCTTAAGTCCTCTCATCACCACCATTGGAAGAACCTTGTTGGTGAGTCTCATTATCTGTCATTTTTGCCGGTGTTTTATGTGTTTTGGATCTCGTTGCTGCCATTAACCAATTTGCCTCCCTAGGGAAGTCGCCAAAATGTATGAGAGGGTCTGGGGATGTTGTCGAAAATTCAAAGGTTGCCAGAATCTTCAAATGTCCCCTGGAAAATTCAAATGTCGTTGGAAAATTGGAATCTTCTAAAAATGATGAGAGGCTTAGATTTTTCAACGGTTGCAACTTAAAACACACAATAACAAAGAGATGATGGAGATAAGAGATTGGGTGAAGAAGAAGACAAAGTAGTTAGAGAGAGAATAATGGCAAGGATTTTCCATGGATCTCCCACTTTTACTCTCTAGATAGATAATGGAGAAGGGAAATTAGTTCTCTCTCAAAAATGCTCTAAAAAATCTCTCTTGTAAAGTTATGGGTGGGTGCTATTTGTAGGCACCTCATGATGTAGGATGAAGCCCATGTGCAAGGCACATGGGGAATATTCCCTCTAACTACTTTGTCCGAGGAGGTAACCTCTTCGAGGATGAGGAAAACCCCCAAGAGGAGATCTACCTCTCGGTGAACCCTTGTTTTTAGCCACGCTTAACTAATGATCCTCAATCATCCCAAAGGGTTAGGGGTAGTTCCAGACGATACCCTGCCGCAGAAAGGTCAGAGGTAGTTCAAGAGAACGCCATGCCGCAAATATTATCAAATCTTAGGAACCCCCTAGATAGTGCCACATCGACCCAAGTATAGGCTAGTTTAACCGAAGAGCGAATTTATCTCCACTCACCGTCTTCGAGATTAGGTCCTTTGTTCGGACTCCGACACGCCCATGATTCTGATGCGTAGATTCTGTAAAGCTCCGAGCCCGCAAGTGTTCTGGGACTCATTAACGGAGTGACTTCTAGATTGTGTTCAAATTCGTTCGAAGCCAAGCGCTTCGAACCACTAGGTTCGTGGATCTAAACCCTTTCGAGTCCGAGCTCAAATAGGCCTCTAGGCTTGTGGTTCCGAGCCCATTAGAGACAAAACAAATACCTCAAAGAATGGATCTCCTCTGAGGGTTTCATCTCTTTTGAAAGCAACGATCAACATTCTGGGCCTTCTCGGATAGGTTTTTTGGACTTTCTATAAAGGTATAAGCCAGATGGGTCTTTCTTGGATCAATTTGTTGCCTTTTTTTGTGGGTCTATTCAATATAATTCATTTGGGCCCATTTAGCAGTAATTTCTCAAGACGTATTCATTTTTGGGCTTCTCGATTGAGCTATGATTGAACCCAATTAATTTAATGGGTTCAAGTTAACCCCACTTACACTTCTACTACTCGTGCTTTGCTTTGGTAAGGCGCGCTTCTCGCGCGTAGGCTATAGGAGACCTTATCGCCTTGGTGCGCCTAGAGCCTTTTAGAACACTGCCCTACCTTATTCACAGATGATATTGTCATACTGGATGAAACTAAAGAAGGAATTTACACTAAATTAGAAATTTGGAGAGAAGCACTTGAATCAAAATGGTATAAAATTAGTAGAAATAAAACTAAATAAATGTAATGTAATTTTAGTAATAGTAGAAGTAGAAATAATGGAGAAAGGAAGATTGGAAACTAAGAGATAGATAGCAAATAGTGAACATTTTCATTGCCTAGGTTCAATTATTAGTAACGATAGTAACGTTAGGGATGATGTGATCCACAGAATCAAAATAGGTTTACTCAAGTAAAGGTGCATTTGACATATTATGTACGGAAATTAGTAAAATTAAAAAGAAATTTTTTATAGAACTATAAGGCCAACAATGTGTTGTGGGACAAAATAATGGACAACTAAGAAACATGTTCATAATATAATATGAGAATGTTCATATACATGTATGGTAAGACTAGGAAAGATAGAATAAAAAATGAATATATTCGTCAAATAGTAGGTTGTACACCAATTGAAGATAAGTTGAGAGATAACAGATGAAGATGGTATGGTCATGTACAATGAAATTTTATAGATGCAACGGTAAGGAAGAGTGATATGACCACTTTAAACGAAAATGTTAGGAGAATGGGAAGACCTAAATTGACATGGAATGCAATAGTAAAAAAAATCTATGAAAGTATTTAATTTAATTGACCATATAGCCCTTTATTGGCAGAATAGTGAAAAAAAAATTCATGTAGTCGACCTCACTTGAATGGACATAAGACTTGGTTTGGTTTGTTTTGTTACTTGTTGGACATGGGCTGTAAGGGTGGTGCATGAGTCTTCTATGGAGTCAAAGTTTTCTGTAGGCCAGCCCACCATCATTGCAAAGGGTATGCAAGCTCAGATCACTAGGCCTTCCGCCAACAAATTCACTACCCTCCTCTATACAGGTATTTTTCCCTCTTATCTTTCAAAATCATCCACTACTATCACCACCATGCCCAATAACCAAAAGAGTTTTGGGCCTGCAAGCAAGGCTCACAGACCTCTCAAAAGGGCCTCCTTGCGCATCACTCCCAGATAGGCATGCCCTTAAGACCCTATGTTTCATAAATTTGTACTTGCTTGTCGGCCTAAAATTTTCTATTGCTCATCTCCGATCAAAACTTCCCTTGCCCCGAATTTCAAACTTGTGTTTCCCAAATCCAATGCTCCACCACTTGGCCATGAGTCATTCCCCCACTCCTTTATTTGTATATACGCTTCCATTAATATTTAAAATTCAAACCACAAACAACGTTCTCATAATGTCAATGCAAAGCTTTTCTATGAATATTTATTTGCAATTGCATGTTCATTTCTAGTAGTTACATGTCACTTCTTTCTTTAGGAGCTGTTGACGTTTCACTTACATTGTTTGTGTTAAGTCACCAATTTTTCTAAAAATTTAAGTTGTTAGGAAATGGGCCCAACAATTTATATCAAGCTATTCAACATCCTCTCTCACGTGCACATGCAACCTCATCTTACTCGTGGAAATGCAAACATCCATACAACAAGAGAAGAAAGAATGCAAACGGGAATCAAATGCAAAGGGAGACTTGCACTGAAGATCTCTTCCAACTTGAGCTTTGATACCACGTCAGATCACCGCTAGTCCCAAAAGTTTTGGGACAATTGTTGACTTAAGCTATTAGGAAATGTGCCCAACAATATATATCAATCTATTTAACAGTGTGATCAATCTTGAAGGTCTACAATTCAAACTTTTGATTGGTGACAATGGGAGCCTTAAAACTTTCTAAAATGCGTGCATTACCCTAATTGTCCAATCAAAACCTTTGTACTTAACCTTGAGAAGAATATGGACCACGTACGGTGTGGGTACTGCTCATGGTTATCAAAATCCCGATCCGAATCGTAAGATTCTACGATTTTACGATTTCAATTGGGCCAAACAATCCGGATCACACTAGGATCTTAAATTTAGTAGGATCTTAAAGTCACTACAATCCTAGTTATAAAATGATGTAGAATCACATACGATTCTGATTCTACTTTGATCCCAATCGTACCAATTTTTTTTGTTACTATTTATTTCTTATATATGTGTATATTTATATAAAAAATTTGACTATAAACTACGGATCACTCTAGGATCTTAAATTTAGTAGGATCTTAAAGTCACTGTGATCCTAGTCATAAAATGACGTAGAATCACATACGATTCTGATTCTACTTCGATCCTAATCGTACCAATTTTTTTTGTTACTATTTATTTCTTATATATATATATATGTGTGTGTGTCTGTGTGTATATTTATATAAAAAATTTGACTATAAACTCATTTTTCAAATGTCTTCTCTAATTTATGTTAACATAGAATATACATTATATCAAATTTATCAATTTTTTTAGTCTTTTTAAAATTATGTAACAAAGTTTATCATTATCGATAATTTTTCATTTTATTTTGCATTAAAAGTAGGATCTTACGATTCTTGATCCGATTCTACGATCTGATCCATTAGTCCCTCTCAACGATCCTACTTGGGATCCCGATTTTAACAACCTTGGTACTGCTAAAACATTCACACATTCACCAATGGGGTGTCATGGTTCTTTCTTTATATATTATGTATGTATGTATGTATGTATCTATGTATGTATGAATATGTTTATTTTCTAAATTCTGACAAGAACAGTCATTTGTTTTTCAGTTTCATGTCAAATTACCATTTTTAGCCATGAAGCTATTTTTAATGGTAGTGATCATTTTCCTAGATGTCTTATTGATTCTTTTTCACTTGTAGGTCATTGCTGAGAGGCTTTCAGAGGAAGAAATTGGTGGTCTGAAAGAGTTATTTAAAATGATAGACACAGACAGTAGCGGAACAATAACCTTTGATGAACTGAAAGAGGGCTTGAGACGAGTGGGTTCTGAACTCATGGAATCCGAGATTAAGGATCTCATGGATGCAGTAAGAAGAATTGTCTACACAGCTTATTTAATACTCCTTCCATCCCAAATTGTTTGTCCATTGTCATTATTCATGCCCTCTAATCAAGTCAATAAATAATTTATTTTTGTTATTAAAAAAAATTCAATTTTTTCCACAAATTAAAAGACCTCAATTAGTTCTTGTCGATAAAGTTTTCAAAATTGTTGGAAAAAGAATAAATTAAAAAATATAAACATGTTTTTGGGATGTTTGGAATAGTGAAAATGGACAAACAATTTGGGATGGGGAGAAGTGTTATATTAAATCAAATGCTTTTCCTGTTTATTTGAATTTGATAGACAGTACTGTATCTTTTTGTACATCTGTGTTATGATGGGTTTTGCAGGCAGATATTGACAACAGTGGAACAATAGACTACGGTGAGTTTCTGGCTGCTACTGTGCACTTGAACAAGTTGGAGAGGGAGGAGAATTTGGTGTCTGCCTTCTCCTTTTTTGACAAAGACGGCAGTGGTTACATAACCATTGATGAGCTTCAAGAAGCCTGCAACGAGTTTGGTTTAGGTGATGTTCACCTTGATGAGATGATCAAGGAAATTGATCAAGATAATGTAAGTAGTTTGGCAACTGTGCAAATTCTTCGTTTGAATAGGAGGGAAAAAAAGGATAAATTGCATTGGTGGTCCTTATTTCGCCCTTATGCCAATTTGGTCCTTGTAGTTTCATTTGACTCTATTTTGATCTTGAATTTATAATTCTCTCAACTTGGTCAAATTGATTATGCCTGCTTTGCTTTTGATAGAAAATGCACACATGAGCAACACATGTCGTGTTTTTAAAGGCAAAATTTTAAATTTGCTCAACTCAACGAGTTAATCTGTACCCAATTCAGTTACCATTTTTCGTCAAAAATCCTAACCGAAATTATCAATTGGACCAAGTTGGCACAATTCAAAATTAAGGGTCAAAATCGAACCAATTGAAAGTGTAGGGACTGAAAAATAGTGTAATTTGTCCCCCCCAAAAAAATTGACATATCTTATTTTTTATCTTAAATATCCTTGAAGAAAGCTTTAAGTGTACTACACATACGTGCCTTCATGAATATGTTTGTTCGTTTATACAGGCGTGTCCACTGTGTATATAGTTTAGCACTAATGGAAGCTTTTGTGGATGCAGGATGGACAAATAGATTATGGGGAATTTGCTGCAATGATGAGGAAGGGCAATGGAGGGGTTGGGAGGAGAACCATGAGAGGCAATTTCAACTTAGGAGATGCTCTTGGAGTTTAGAGAGACACTGGAAAAAACTTGTCAACATCAACTGTAGGCCATCTCAAGTATGATTAGATTGATGAATAGCAGGGTTTTTTTTTTTTTTTTTTTTTTTTTTTTTTTTTTGGAGAATGGTTTGATGGCTGCTGCTCTGATTGTACACCTCATGCAGGGTTGAATGGAAAAAAGCACATATATATGGACATTGGTCCTGTTTGGTAGGACTTATTTTTAACTTATTTCAGTTTTTAGCTTAATTTAAATTATTTTGATATGTTTGATTCAGCTTAACAATACAGCTTATAGTTTTTTGTAAGTCAAAAATCAACTTATTCTTTGAATGGGGGAGGAGAAGTTTAATTTATGTTCACAATTATAAACTATAAATTGTTAAGGTATAAGTTATAATTACTTTCTCACAGTTCTATCAAAAAGGACTATAGAGATTTTGTTTCTTGTTTTTTCCCAAATTGTTTCTCTCCTTTTCCTATGTTTTCTTTTTCTTCTCATTTTTTTCTTGGGGATAGGAGGGGAGGTGGTTGATCGGGAATCAAGCACTCAATTAGGACTTGACTAATATTTGACAAGGTAACTGTCAACATTTTTGTTTGTTTTTGTTTTGCTTTTGATTTAACATATGGCAATTTATGAAATGTTCTAAAATCCAAATATATTTTGAAGGGAATTGAGAGAGGGAAGGACTGTTATTGTCATATCTGATACAAGACAGATCAGCAACAAGCAATTCTTGGTTTTATCCCATGGAAAACAGGAAATCTAGTGAGGATTTTTAATTTGCTCTGTGGCTATTAAGGGAAAAAAAAAAAAAAAAAAAAAAACAACTCTTAATACTAATTTTCTCCTACACATTAATTTATACAATTTTTAATACACATTTTTTCATAAAAAGTCAAAAAGTTAATCCAAACATTCATATTTTCAACCTCAACTTTTTAGTCTAAAAAGACAAAAAGTGCACTTATTTAATCTTTCCAAACTTGGCCTAATTATTAGAGCTATGTACGAAGATTAATTGTAAGAGATCACGCGTTTGAACTTCTCTTTAATCTACGTGTATGTGTTATTTTCTTTGTATTTGTTTGGAGTTTTTCCACACCAAAATTGTGTTTATTTTAGCATTGATTTTTAATCTCTTGTGTGTGTGTGTCTCTTAGACTTCATTTATCAATGAGCTATTTGTCTTTTAAACTAAATAAAATATTCTTTAGAGGCTTACATTTTCTATGGTGAGCTTTTAAATTTTTGTTTATTTATTTCTTTTTATCAACCATCACTTGTGTGTGGCTTCAGCTCAACCATTGCTGCCTAAGAAAAAAAGCCCATTGACTTTGAACCCTATTGGATCATGACATAATTAAGGGTGATTTTATTTACACTTAAACAATAATTTAATACGTCCAGTTAAAATTTTAAAATTTTGTTTCTTATTATATTCTTATATAAATTTATTAACAAAGATAATATATATTAAATCTTAAAATAAAATATATTTTTATCTTCTAATATACCCTAAATAATTATATCGATTGATCATATTGAAGTCTCTCTATCTTCTTTTTCAAGTTTTAATTATTTTCTCTTCATCTCTTTCCTTATTCTAAAATTTCAATTTATCCTATCAGAATTTAACATTATCATCAACATTATTGTTTCTTATTGTATTATTACTTATAAATAAAAAAAATATAAAACAAAATCAAACAATAGATGATAATCATAATCAGGTTTCTAGTTTTGGTCCCAAAGCTGCCATGGCTCCCAAAGGGAGGTTTCTGGAGAAAACACTACACCCGAAACACGACATTGATCTTAGAATTGGGCATCACTCCCAACAATGCCAACAAAATAAAGGTTCATAATTCTTATTAGTATCCAAAAAATCATCCTTGAAAGCCACCAACAGTTCCTCTGCATGAATAAAACTTGGCTCCGATGAACTCAATACAGGAATAAAACTTGGCTGCTACTTCAACAACGACGGCGGTTGGGGGTTTGCCAATGTCATTCTCCTTCATTGTTGTCATCGTCCTGTGTATGTGAACAAAACGAATAGATGATTTAAATTGATTTGTTTGATATTTGGGAGTACCACAAATTATCATTTTATCTTGAAGGTAATTTGTGAAAAAACATAGGATATATTGAGAGAAAATTATAACCTTAAGGCCATGTTTGTTTAGGCGGACTAGATTAGCATTCCCATGACTAATAGTCTTAGGACTACGAATCCGTTGGATTATGTATCCTATCTTAACTAATAGTCAAGTTTAAAATAATTAGTCCGTACTTCAATTGTTTAACCAAACATCAGATTAATAATTTTATTGGACTATTAGTCCAATCCCAAGCTCATGTCCACCCAAACAAACATGACCTAAATAATTTAATAGAGAATATTGAAGAATTGAATACACTGAATAATTTTTTGGGTGCAAATAGAATCCCCATAATTAATGGTTGTTTTGTTAGTGTGATGTTTTGGAAAATAATTGCTCATTTTTGTAGATTTTAAGTTTTTTTGCTTGCTACACAGTTGAGATGGAAGGACTCAATTTTAAGAAAGTATTTTATGTAACAGATATGCCATGCCATATGGTTGACCTGGTGTGATATATTTTTTCATTTATTGTTTGTTATGCGGTAAACGTAGGGCTTAGAAATAATTTTGTAGCCGGTTAAGTGTTTGTCCACTTCCAATTCAGATTTTTTTATTTTTTTTATATATATTAATAACAAATAACAAATAATAAGTGAAAAGGTACACCACTTGTCATACAAAATACTCTCTCCAATTGTAGATGTTTCTCATCTCAAGCCTTTTTTTTTAACCTACCAAATACAAAAATAATGATATACAATAAAATATTTTATATGTAAACTTTACTTTAAAATAAAATATTCGTAAAAGTGAATTTATTTATGAGAAATATTTAATATTATGTATAAATAAAAATTTTCAAAAAAAAAATACGATGATGGGAGCTAACCTGATTATTAAGAGTAACCCACAAAGTGGTTCTTTGTATTTTTCAAAAAGCAAACCACGCTTATTAGTTCAACTTAATCAAATCAATTCTGAATAATTTAGTTTTTTTATAGTATACATAAGTTTATTGAGCTAAGCTGAAAAAAGTAAGATATCATAAGTTATTCAAATTTAACCTGTTTATCTAATGAGTCATTCTCAAACAAATTTTAACAAGTCAAGTACAAATAAAACTTAACTTGGTTCATTTTACAGTAATATGCGTGATCATCAATATTTCCTTGGGACCATGGTGATTAAATTCAAGAAGCAGATATAATTGTTTCTTCCTCACAATTTGGTTATGGCATAAAAAATATGTTTGATTGAATTTTCGGTTTGAAATTTTTTCAAAAATTACAAATTAGTTTTACAAAAATAAACACCAAAATTTTTTCCCTGACTTTTCTAAGATTATTTTTGTCCCAAATAAAATAAACCCATACAAAAATAATGAGTTTTTGATTTTTTTTTTTTTTCCCCACCAATCTAGTATTTGAAACCTTTTCAAGTCCACATTCTGAAAACTTAACTAAACAGGTTATTTTCAAGGGGAAAAAAAAAAACAAAAAACAGCTTTCAGAAATAATTCATCAAAAAAGTTTTTTCTTTTTTGTGTTTTCTAGAAAATGAAAATAAAAAACACAACAAACTTTTTTTGGTCAGCAAAAACACAACAAACGTGATAACCTTTCAGCCACCATATCTCTCCTAAGAGAAGGTTTTGAGTTCCATTTTTAGTAATAAAATTAAGAGGCAAATCTTAAGTGCTTGCAAAGAGAGAGTGAGAGTTAATTCTCCAAAAGTTGTTAATCTAACAATCAATCACTTTCATTTAAAAAAAGAAAAAAACTTTATAGTCCCACACTGGAATATTTATGAAGGGCAATCTAGGCAGAGAGCATTATGGCAATCATGTGGGTCGGACTCAGTTTGGATCGGACCGACATTACATAATAAGAATTTTGAATTTGTTCAAATCCGACCCGGTCCTAATATCAAGCCTTTATATTTGTCCAAGCTCGGTCCAGAAAATAATTATAAATCTCAAACTCACCCATCAGGCTACATGTTAAAAAAAATTAAAACATTTCATTATTAAATTCAATCACACATTATATTTTTTAAATAAATCTAGTGGTATTATTCTAAATTGAAAGATTTTGTGTATAAATAGAAAGATTTCTTAAATAAATTCAATCACATATCACTATAAATGTAAGTTTCAATAAAATCAACAAAGACAAAAGTCTAGATTCCCACAAAAAATATATATTTTAATGTATTATAAATAAATAAATAATTTAATAACAGGACAGGACGGGCCAGGCAAGCTGAGTTGAAAATATAAATCCCCAACCCAGTCCATTAATATTTCAGACTGAAAATGTTAGCCTAGCTCAACCCTATAAGTTAAAACAACCTTTAAATAAATTCAATCACATATCACTATAAATGTAAGTTTCAATAAAATCAACAAAGACAAAAGTCTAGATTCCCACAAAAAATATATATTTTAATATATTATAAATAAATAAATAATTTAATAACAGGACAGGACGGGCCAGGCGAGCTGAGTTGAAAATATAAATCCCCAACCCAATCCATTAATATTCCGGACTGAAAATGTTAGCCCAGCTGAAAATGTTAGCCCAGCTCAACCCTGTAGGTTAAAATAACCTTCCCAAACCCTTAAAAAATAGGATTGGACCGGACGGGCCGGGCAAGCCAATGTGCCGATATCCACCCCTATAAGCTAAAATTAATAGGATTGGATCGGACGGGATGGGCAGGCCAATGTGCCGATGTCCACCCCTATAAGCTATACACCACACTTTCTTTGAGTCACACCATTCAACTATCAAAGAAAATTAATTATTCATAAATCAATTGTTGAACCATAAAATTTTGTTCGGAAACCAAAAAAATAAAAAAAATCGTAAGAATTGAGAATATTTGTGGTGGTTGATAGAGACTCCTTGGCACGGTTGAAGTTTGTAACATTATTCTGGATGCCAAACTATTATCAATAATTCTAAATACACACATCAAATAAAATAAATCATTTTAACCATACACATCAGGCAATAAAACCTACCATAAAAGAAACAGTTTTACTCATATTGCTCCATCTGTAGTTTTGTGACTCCCAATTCGTGGTCTTTTATGCAGCAATCATTCCATATCAAATGGCATCATCTGAGTCAGTCTCATCAAACCTCCAAACCAAAGGAGTTGTATTTTGCATTGGTTGTTTCGTACAAATCAGATTCTTTTAGTTGAATACATGGTGAAGAATACTTTATTGGGTCCAAATAATTAAAAATATATAATTATGTAGCTAAAAACTACTGGAGGAGGAGGTTCACATTTTACTGGAGACAGCAAGGTACTTGGTATGGCGGCCTTGAGCAATAATTTTCCCGGTCTTTTTCTTTCTCAGCTCAACACTGACAACAGCAATAGCCTTTCCAACACGCAAAACCTTGCTTTCTATCTCGATTTCCTCCTGAACAAAACAACACCACACAAGTTTTACGTGATTTAAGAGATGCAAATATTGTTGGTCTCACCAAAGACTTCAATAGAGAGAGAGGGAGGGGGGACAGCCAAAGCCAAGACCAACCGGCTTTAAACAATATAAAGAAACAAGTTTTCAACACATCAGAACATTTCAACTTGGGGAGGAACAAATTATGACCTGATCACGAACAAAATCCCATGCATACACATCTAAATTTTGATAGACCACCTGATCAGCAAGGAAATCTCACACAGGGTAGCAATCAGCCGTACAAGCAAATAGACATATTTAACCAGAGTATAAATCACAAGGTGGGGAAAACCTTAAATAACTCCAACACATGTATATTTATTATTTATTTTTATATACACAAATATATGGATATAGATATATACTCAGCTCAACAAGCTTTTATCCTCAATCTTGGGGTCAGCTACATGGATTCATTTCCTTTAATTGGCTCTATTTGCAGACATCTTCAGTTAAGTTTAAGATATCCATGTCATTTCTTATCACCACAGCCCAAGTTTCTACCTCTTTCTCTAACCACCTTTCACGTGGATCAAATTACTCCTTATAGGCGCATCAATTGGTCTATGACGCAATACATAGGTAGATAGATAGATAGATAGAGAACCAAATAAGCAACAGTCATTATTCACCCTCTACAATATAACATACAGAGTTTGAACAGAATGCTTCATTTGCTGTAGAAGTACACAAAATGGAAAATTATAACTTTAAACAACAATGATGGCAAGCTTCCAAGCAGTACTAGGATAATATCAATTGTTTGGAGTGTGTGAAGTGATTAGCAGCTTAGAACTCAACCACAAGACAAAGAAAGCCAGAGCATTTGGCTCCTACAACCAAATGGAGACTAAAGGCCACTAAAAGTGTTGATCCCACCAATATGAAATTCTTTGAGGGGTGGACTAGTTACAAAATATATAACGACTACAAAAAAAATTAAAACAGCTTCAAGCCTTACAATTTATGAAGGCCCAGAATTTCCACCCTTAAGTCTGGCCAATCCAAGTCCATCACATTTTATACTTGTGAATTGAATGATTTGTACCAAACTAAATATAACCAATTATTTGTATATATTGCATAAATTTACATTTTAGAAAGCCTCTAGTCAAGACATTAACTTTGGTACCATGATGGTTTTGTTCCCTTTTCCAAGAGATTGAAAATCCAAATTTTGTAGTAGAGTCCTCAGAATTAGGTGGCATAACAAGATGAAAAAAGCACACTCCCATGACTCAAGGAAGAATAAAACAAGTATGTTCCACGATAACCAACATATCAGTGAAATGAGATGTCTCAAAGACTTGCTATCTAGAGCTAGTAAAGAGACCTCAATGAAGTCAATTAGTTTGCTATTTCACAACATATAAGTGGTGTTTCATCCTAAAAGGATTTAAAGAAAAACTGAGTTAGATCAGAAGAATTTTCTTTCGGTGAGAAACAATTCCGCAGTGGGGCCCTCCCAGTTGTAACATTATCCCAAGAGGTATCAGCAACAGAAACAACATATTAATAAGTTGCTAAATGACTACATGGGCCTGGATGTCAAACTTGGGAAACAATAGGCCTGTTAGTTGTGTTTTTGTTTTATGTTTTTGGACAAAACAACAAAAAGTTCACAAACACCCACCATTTTTATATCATGTTCATTTTTGTGCATAAACAATTTTCAAAAATTCGAAAACAATTATTTATTGTTTTCTAAAGAGTGAGTTGCTTTATAAAAAATTAAAAAATAAATAAAAAATAAGTGAAAACTATTTTTGGAAACGATTCACCATATAATTGAAAAAATTTTATGTCTCTCCGTTAGACTCATCCCTAGAAATGGGAAATGGTGAACATATCCACCATTTTGAGGCCATGTTTGTTAGGATGGACTGGATTAGATTGGACTAGAATGTCTAAGACTAGACCTAAGTTTATCATCAATCCTTTCGGATTGTGTATCACATCTCATGTTTGGATTGATTTAGGATTATGAGAAGTGATTAACAAAATTCAATCAATTTTGCAATTTAACTAATTAAAGTCTGAACTTCTCCTTAATCCTCCATTTTGTATCCTGTCCCCTCTTGGAATTCAATAGTCCCTTATATGGGGGATACTATGTCCAGATAGACTATTAATTTGGACTCCAATTTTCTGTACCAAACATCGGATTATGCATTTTGTGGGATTATTAATTCAATCCTAAGATCATGTCTGTCCAAACAAACATGGCCTAAGGGTTGATAACTAGGTTGTGTTAAATCAATATCCAATCATATCTTTAAAATTTATGGCAGAAAACAAACCTGAATTAAGATGCAGATACTTTAATTGAAAAAAAAAGAAAGAAAAAGATAAGAGGAAAACCTAAGACAGATCCTTCAATTGATAAAATATGTGAATTTCTAGCCAAAAGAGAACAAAACAAAAATAAAATATGATTTAGCAGGCAAGCCAGGTACAAATAGGTAACTTGACCACTTATCATAGTCCTAATGTTGTCCATACTCTGTTCAGTGATGATATAAGGTTTGTTTGTAAAAGCGATACAAATTAAAACTTAGGTTAATACTTAAGCTTTCAGTGAAACATCTTATGCAAAAAGAGCCAGGAATCCGCATCTATGATTAGATCAATGAAGTATATTAGACATAATTGTCCTGTCTAATATAACTACTTAGAGAGTTGAAAGAAAGGGATGATCTGTTTCAAGTTTTGGAAACCGGAAACCATACTCTTATAGCACTATGGAATAACTGTACGAAGTTAGTAAAAAGATCTAACAACAAGAACAACTCCATTTTGATTATAAAATATTCTACTCCATTATAGTAAAATATTCAATCCTGAACAACCAACACGTAAAAAAGCCGCTCAGATCTCTTATGACAATGAATCATACTTTGAATCGATTAAATGGTAGGTCGTTCCCCTCGAGTGACGCGTTGCGCCTACCTCCGGGTGTTTTGAAAAGTGAGCAAGGGGCGCCACATCGATGCCTGGGTGCGGTGAAAAATGGACAAAGATTTCTGCGTTTTTCTGGACGAGCACGAGTAAAGAAGCTAGTCTAAGACTATAGGTTTAGGATAGCCACGTGGAATATAGGAACTTTAATTGGTAAGACTATGAAATTAGTAAATGTTATGATTAGGAGGAGAGTTAGTGTAACAACCCAGATTTTTAATTATTTTGTAGAATTTATACTAATATTATTTAATCTCAGTTCGGAAAATATATAATTTATTATATATTATTATGCGTAATTTTGTAAAATAATATAATTATTAAAAGTTTAGGGGTCAAAATATAAATAATAATAATATAGATAATATAAATAATAACAATAATGAGTGTGATAGTAAAATAAATAATTAATTTTATGTCAGTATACGATAGAGTGTAATTTAATTAGGAATTAATTTATTTATATAATTATATTAAAATATTGGGTCAAATAGTAATAATCTTAAATATCTATTAAGGAAAATAACGAATCTGTGAAATTATTATTGAATCTACCACGTATGCGCCTTATTCCCTATAAATGGGGAGGCGAGGCGCTGATCTGGGCCGAAAAAAGAAGAAAGGAAAAAGAAAGAGAAAGAGAAAGAAAGAAAGAAATAAAAGAAAGAGAGAGAGGAAAAAGGAAAGAATAATGGAAGGTAAAAGGGTCTTTGACAGTAGAAAAAAAGAGTAAGGTATTAAAATTAAGGTGAGTTATATTATATCTTGAGTTACCAAAATATATTTTACTTATGTTTTGACTTACCATATTTATTTTATACAAGTTATGTTTTATAAGTTATTATAAACTATATAAATATTTTAGTTACATGGTTTAATTTATGAACCCTATTTGTTAAAAGGAAATCCATGGATATGTTTGTTTTACTTTTAAAGAATATTTGACTATGACTTTATAAATAATTATGTTTTGTAAGTACCACCACGGGAGTCCCACGCTTTGGGGGCCTTAAATAACCATTGGCCTCTGTTTGACCACTTTGTGGTCTTCTGTTTGTCATGGATCCATTGATGTCTGTTCTGTGCGGAGCTAAATGCTACACTATTGTGGGAGCCACCTCTAGAATCCGTACCTGTGTTCTGTGCGGAGCTAAGTGCTACACTGTTGTGGGAGCCACCTCTAGAATCTGTACGAGCCACCTCTTGAATCCGTACCTCTGTTCTGACTGCCACTTCTGTGACCTCTGTTCTGTTCTGTTCAGTATCGTGGTTATGGTTATATACTTACATAAATTCTCTATTTCAGTTTTGATACTTAAAGGATTATTTAATGATTTGTTTACCAATGATTTGTTTGTCAAACTGAGTTATGTAAATGTTTTGACCTAATTAACTATCCATGGTTATTTCGTGTTCTTTATACTCTTGGTATAATATTTCTCACTCTGCCATGTGCTTATAGCTGTTTACCAATTTTCAAGAAACATGCAATTCAGAAATAGCTTTTGGAAAGTCTTAGTCGGGGTGGCGGAATAGACACACACAACACTTTGATGATATTTCTCTATGTAAATATCGACTTTTTTTGTCAATAAATTTTGTAATAAAAATAGAAGCTTCAATGATTATTTTGGTACCCTCATTTAAATATTACTTCCGCTCGCGTTTATTAATTTGGTTAAGAATTGGCCGGAGGTAACCCCAGTTACTGGTCATCACGATGCTTAACCCTTGGGTACGGGGAGCGGGTCGTGACAAATGGTATCAGAGCAATGGTTTATAAAATAAAAAAAATCATCATTGGAGCATAGGACACAGGCACATTTAAGAAGTAGGATAGCGGGTAATTAGTACCTATATATTACATTTTGTTAGTCGATTTAATTATATTATAATTTTATATGATTATATATAATAAATTTTTTTTTTAGTGTGCCTAATTTGTGAAGGTTATTAGATATAATTTATATTTGTTATAGTAAAAGAAGGACAAGAAA